ACGATTGATAAAAGGCTGAAAAAATGACTACCTTGTTTGCAGCTTCAACAACAGGCCCCGTGACTTATTCAACCACATTCTACTACATATCAACATACTTTCATTGATTTGTTTATTATAACATCATATTTTCGATCAATATTTGGGTAGATTCTTCGAAGTATAATGCCCTAATAAGATAAAATTTTGAAAGTGCATTACTGTAGTTCCATACATATTTCAAACTACAATGCTTTATTTTTAAGGAAAAAAATTGTAATACAAAAATGAAAGTAGGATACTATGATACACAAATAATTAAAACTGTATTGCCTAATATTTATTCATTTAGACGCAAGTAGAAAGCAGGATTGAGAAAGACAAGTGCTTAATATTTCACCTTTGGGTAGGTGTTGTGTATGCTTGCATGTAGAGATGCACAAACCATCGATCCTGTTCGATGACGTCAAAGCCAATACGGTTTCAGCCAAGATCCAATCCGGGTTCAAACCGGTTTTGACCGGTTTTCCCTCCCCCGAGTCCGAATCGGTTTAATCTGATCCGGTTTGGATCCGATCCGAAATCCGATCCGATTTTTGCAATTTAAAAAAAAACATTTTTTGGACCTCATATATAACACAAAATGCAACATAGGTTCATTAAAATAGTTAAAACATACATCAAACGTCGAATTACAAAGAGTTTACAACCTAGTTAACTAATATTAATAATAATAATAATAATAAAGTGGCGTTAAAACATTTAGCCAAATAGAAATAGTTTTTGTGGCCTTCCACTTCGTGTCTCGTTCACTAAAATATTATTCAACTGCCACACTAATAGTTAGGGGTCTCATCAATACCATATTCTTCATCTTCTTATTCGTCTTCGTCGTCATCGTCTTCGTCTTCCGGAGGTGTTGATAACCCTTGTGCATATTCTTCATCCATGATCTCCGGTTCAACATTTTGTGCTAGTGGGTCCTCTAGTGATGCCAAATGTTGTATACGTTCCACCGAATCCAAGTAATCCTTCAAGCAAACGCAAACCTCTACCATAACCGGGGTAAGATTCGTCCTCAACTTTGATAAAACTCTACCACTAAAAGAAAAAGCGGATTTCGAAGCTACCGTGGAAGCTTGGACGGTTAGTAAATCGCGGGCCATGACGGAGAGAATAGAAAATTGTGCTTCCTTTTCTCTCCACCAAGCCAAAAGAACCAAAATTTTAAATTGTGGTGCACTCATGAATTTTAATAAGTTTGACCCATATAAATTCCAAGTTTGCTACTAGGGGTTAGTGTGCGTGCTCTTTTGTTTTGTTCCTCCAAAATGTAGTTATAGAGGTCCATATGAAAATCCGTTCGACCCCCACTACTACCCGTACACTTGCAAAAGTGTATGACATATTGCCATATTTTGTAGCGTAAATGTCAAACAAATTAGTAAAGTATTATTAAAATTGTATATTTGGTTACGGATGTACTTTGAGTCATCTTTGTGCAAATTTAAAGACTGAGAAATTTTGGTAAAATTTTTTAACATTTCCACAAACTCTTCCATCAAATCCCAATCAAAATCCGAAACCGGGTTTTTTCCTTTTGAAATTGTGTCGTAAAATAATTGCAAAGCTATTCTTTGTCGTGTCAAACATCCCAATGAGGACTATATGGAGTTACGTTAATGGAAATAGCAAACTTTTGATATTTTTCCATTGTAGCTTTATTTTTTCCAAAAACTCTAGTGAACACAGTTTTGAATTTTTCAATCGTCGAATCTATCATTTTTAAACCATCTTGTACCGCAAGATTAATAATGTGACAAACACATCTAGTATGAAAAAACGAGCCATCCAAAATAGGTTTATATTTTGCAATTAATCTTTTTGCGGCGGCGGTATTGTTACTTGCATTGTCAAACGAAATAGAGAAGATTTTGTCGCTTAAATTATAAGTCTCTATAA